AACATAATAGTTGAATTTTAACTAAATTATTAGTTATTAACTATTTGTTTAATATTATTAATAAAATAATAAATAACAATAAGTCAAGAGCACACATTTTCATTTGAATGTGAACGCAATGAAAGTCATTCCTCATTTAGTTATCAATATACGTATGCAAAATGCTTTTGGAGATACATTTTTCCTTTTGATTGTCATAATATTAGGTTAGGTTGAGACGGTGCATGTAAATATGATTATCAGCACTGACACTCGAAAATAACTAACAGCCATTGTAGTGCCTCTAAAGTCGTATACTACATTAAGTATTTTTTTGAATAAATATCCTTACATACTTTATACTTTTTGGTATAAAAATCTTATACCGTATACTTATATACCTTATACCATATACCTAGATATTGTGAAGAAGAATTAATAGGACTTCTTTTGTTATTTGAACTAATCTAGTAAGAACGATTTCCTGAATATTGATGTCTTTTTGTCCGTAGTCCTGGATGAAGTTGTTGTAGAAGCTCAAATATTAACTATCGGTTTTACTGTGTCTATTGTGGGATTATTGTGTTTTAAATAGTCATAGATCGATTTCACTTTCTCTTCATCGATGCAACTTCTGTGGTCCATGCAGGAGTTCTCGAAAGAAAGTAAAGTTAAAGGGTATTGTGCAATAGTATAGTGCATCATTATGACTTTAGTTAGCAGATACAGTGCAAATTAACTGAAATTTAAATAATTTTTCTAGTGGCATATCTAGGGTGAAGGATTAAGGATAGTTTATCTGCTAATATATTGTCAAAAAAAATATTTTCTAGTATATCATATATCCTACCTATGCTATCAGGGTGAAGGATTAGGGGATACAGCCTCCCTTGACAAAACAGCATATAGATAATTTATGGCAAAAATATTGGAAAAAAATATTTTCTAGTATATCACTCTTGATACAATACTAGCTATGCGACCAGGGTGGGGAATTAGAGGATATATCCCTCCTTGACAATATAATAATACAAATACAGATATTATCTGCAAAATTATTGGAAAAAAAATATTTTTTAGTATATCACTCCTCTTGATACAATCCTAGCTATGCAGCCAGGGTGGAGAATTAGGGGATATCTCTCTCCTTGACAAAATAATAGTACAGATACAGATATTATCTGCAAAAATATTGGAAAAATAATATTTTCTAGTATATCACTCCTCTTGGTACAATCCTAACTATGCCGCCAGAGTGGAGAATTAGGGGATACAGGGTCCCTCTTAACAATGTATAATATTGATAATACACTGCAAAAGTATTGACAAAAAAGTGTTTGCTAGTATATCACAACTCTTATCATAATCCTAGTAACTCTACTGGCTCTTATATTATTCCTCTGCTTCTGTAGGTCATAACGCCTTATTGTCCTTACAACTTACGGAATGCGTCTATAAGTTTACTCGTCACTTATTATTCAAAACTATAAGACAGTTTTCATAGTGAATTAAACTTAAATTAAAGTTTAACACATTTAAACTTAACTCTAAAAATTGTAAATATTTCAATAAATCATTCAATTTCATTAAAAATTAAAAATATTAAACAAAATTAAATAAAAAAAAGGAAAAATAATAATGATTAATAACTGCAACATTCGTTTGATGACAAAAAAACTTTGCAAATAATTCCATACATAAAATGAATGGATTTTGTAATTAAAATGCTGAGGACATCGAATGGAAATTTAATAGTTGAACTAAATATTTCAGGTCTTATATGCTTAATGAGTGGGTATGCAATTAGTAATAACATTGATAATTCTGCTAATTTATTCAATTTTGTGGTAAGCCAGGATAACGTCAATATATTAAAACTAATTAAACAGCAAATTGAAAACTAAGTGCTATAATTAATTAAATAATGTTTGGCCTTTGTGAGATGATGAGTGTAATTTGTTGTTATCAAATTTCAAGTGATTAAATTTCAGTGATTAAACTGACTAAAATATCATTGACATTTAAATAAATTCCGTAGTTGAACGTAATTCAATCACTCAAAACGCCATATTCAAGGTGAATGACTATAAAAATTAGGAATAATGGACTTTACTACTTCAATTTTGCTCCCAGCTGCGTTCGACAGTAGAAAGCATTGATTTAGATGAGCAAATACCGAAACGCCTTTGAAACTGATATTAATATCAATACCAATATTAGCGTCATTGCTCAAGAGGTTTTCAATTTTTTCATTAAGATCAAAGTTTATGAAAGCAAAAGTGTTCAAGTAAACAAAATTGTTTACCAATACCTCCCGGCTGATGGCTGATCGCTGAGGTAGAGATGATGTAAATAGTCACAAAAGTAAAATATAAAAAATTGAAAGTAAAAGTTAACACAAACCAAATGAGTCCGTATCTTTTACCGCTGACTTTGTACCGCATTTCTCAGATACTCGCACGATTGCGATCACGTAGACAATTTTTGTGGCCGGCCAACGCTTCGAAGCGAACTCACAAATTTTGTGCAAAATGAAATTTTCATGAGTTAACAGCTCAGTTATTTACACATGATTTTTTATATATCTGTATTCATACATATATACACAAATTTATGAATTTAATATAAAAAGATTGCGTGTCTTGATTTTACATTTTGCTTTAAATTTTGTTTGCTTCACCTTTCACGAAGTTTTCTCAGAAATTTGTTTTCAAAAATCATTTGCAAAAATAATAGTGCAATTAATCAGCACTTTAAGGCTATGAAATTACCAAAAAAAAGTGTATACACTAAAATTTATGAATAGATAATTTTAGATAATTTATCTAAAAAAAATCTTTATAAGTTGGGTTTGAAATGTTTTGGGTTCATACTTAAGAAGATCAAAATAAAGAAAATAAGGGGAAGTCATGCTCTGAAGATTATCTCAATAGGCTAGTAACTTGTCTTAGTATGTTGAAGATAATCGACTGTCATATGACTTTACAGAAACTAACCTAAAGATTATCTTATAGTAAGTTTCCTGACATTGAAACTATTTTTGATGAACAGTTTCATAGGAATTAAAAAATATTGATATATAGAAATATAGATAATATGGCAGATATATCTGCCAATTATAATGAAGTAACTTAACATGATTTAAAACAGAATTAATATATATTAAACTATATTTATATATATGTACTGTTTTATATATACACAGTTCTATTATTCCCCGCGCTTAAAAACAATCAGTATTTGAACGTTATCTAAATCCTGAGGTTATTTACATCGTTGGAAGTTAGTATAGAAATTTGTTAGTATCGTATCGTATATATCGAAACATCTATAAGAGAGCACTCGATAAGACCGAATGTATTAGATTATATAACTAATTAAAAAGCAAATTATGCTCCATGGAACAGTCAGTATTACATTTAGGTATTTTAAATCCTGAGGACATTTAATTATATCGTATCGTTATATCGTCTTCCATAATAGAACTCTATTATGTTAGATAATATTAACTTATTCCGAACCAAATGACACTCGATGGAGCTGAGTCAAGCAAACATCGTGACACACAAGTGACTCCAAACGAAAATGGTCATGCAAGTGTTTACACAGTTATAAACCTATTAAAACACCCTGATTCTGTTGAATATATAGATACATAAATACTTTTAAAAAAATACTCAACAAATGCGAATGTAGTAGATTAAATTTAATAATTTCTAATTACGCAAACAAAAGCAATAATAGTCGAAGAGTATAAGTGACTATGACTATAATTATATATATGTAGTATATAGTATATACATATACAATATATATAAAATATATGTAAATAGTTGTCAAGTCTACTACTTGAGATTGGCAGGAGGTTGTAAATTCAGTTGAAGAAGTGAGCAGCAGGAAAGTAGTCAGTTGAGTAAGCAATTCGATTCAGTTGCGGTCGGTTGCGATAGTTCTTCAATTGTATAATCAAGTAACTCACCAATTATCTTATAAATTATTATCTCAGTTATCTTATCAATTGTATTATCTATTATCTTACACATATAGACTATAAATGTAAAATATATAGACTATATATAGAATAAATAGACTATATACACCATATATATAATATATATATATAGACTATATATGTAGAATATATAGACACACTAAAAGTGTGTTGAGTGTAGTATTTGTTAATTAGAAGTCTGCTCATATGATAAGGTCGCACCTTTAATGTAAACATTAAAGACTTTCGAAATAACAAATGATTTCTACAGATTTCATAGTGAGATTCTGATTTTTGTAAAATTAAGTTCGAAAGTGGTTGAATAAAATATATTGAGAAGATTCTTGGTTGATTATATGATTAAAATTACTTTATTTTTTGATCTGCCAATCCTATAAAGGGAAATTAAACCTCCTCTATCACACCTGTCAGCTTAGCCTATGCATAGTTTTGTATAATATAAAAATTTTTAAATACTCTATATGAAAACATAAAAAAAATTATTTAAAAAAAAAATATTAAAAATAATTACGGCTTTAATAAAATGTTTTTTTTTTGTTTTTGTTTTGAGTAAATTAATGCATTTAATTAAAGTTAATTGCTTTCCATATAATTCAAAAATTTGTTTATTAAAATTTTTTATTTAACTTTTCTAAATTCGCCTCAACCGTCTTCGCGGCTAATCAACTCAAACAGGCCGGCATTTCTGCAGTACAAAAGTTAACAAGCTGCCGGCTGGACTGACGACTAAAGTCCAGCTTTAGTCAAGTGAAATTCGAAAAAAGAAGTTAAAAAAAAAACGAATTTTTTTTAAAAATTACTCAGATATATAACAAGATTTTTTTTTTTAAATACTTTAAACTTGTTGATATGATTTTACATAAATATTAATAAATTCCAAATAAGAAGAAGTTAATCCAAAAATATCTAAAATGAAAATTGAAAGCCGCAAGCCAATCGAATAATTGAAAAGTGTTTTCTGTTGTGAAAAGTGTTTTTCTGTCGGCTGAATAATTTTTCTGTTTTCAATTTTCTTTATTGTTATTATGAAAATAATTAAAAAAGTGTAAGTTATTGTCATGAAACAAACAACCATTTAGGTGAAAGATATTTGCGAAGGAGATACACTGACAAAAAATATACTAAAAAATAAAATATTGAATATCTTCAACTATATAATAATAAGATGCTATCTAACTGCACTAAAAATATGAAGCGAAAAAGGGAACGCGAAATGTATTAGTATGTATAAGGAATAATCCAACACAAAGCGGTCTTATTAATTTGTTGGCTTTTTTGTTTTAATAAGCAAAATGTAGAAAATAATATGTTATCTAACTGCACTAAAAATATAAAGAGAAACATGAAGAGCAAAATATGTTAGTTAACTATACTAACTATAACTATATTAACTATAAAATAACTTAATACAAAGCGATCTTTTTCATTTCAAGGACTTCTTGTACCAATAAACATAATGTAGAAAATAATATGCTGCCTAATTGTACTAAAAATATGTATTATAAATAAATACCGAAAAGTGCTAGGTAATTTTACTACATAACTTGATTAAATCAACTCAAAGTGGTCTTATTCATTTATAGAATTTTTTATTTAAATATATGTCATGTCGAAAATACTATGCTGTCTAACTGTACTAAAAAAAACAGTGTTTTTAACCCGCAATAGAATTTATGGAATAAAAATTAAATATATTTTCTAATCACTGTCCGTATTTTTTCAATGTCTAATATTTTCTAATCACTGTCCGTATTTTTTCAATGTCTAATATCCGTATAGAACCGTGTTTTTTAACACTAAATATCTGGAATAAGTATAATAAACTTTTCTAAAGAAAACGTCTGCGTAGACAAGCATTTCTCAAAGTGGGACGTATGCCCTAAAGAAGGAAATTCGATCATTTAAGTGTGATAATTTGAGATTAGGTGTAAATTGATTGCAAATATTAGAAGGCCGGTGAGGATAAAGTCTTACCATTTACAAACCTTACAAAGTAGTATAATATTACCCGAGCATGAATATACTTCATTTTTTGTGGTTCGAAAAGAGATTAATATTTCAGTGATCTACTAATATTTCCGAACGTTCTTTGTATATCTTATGTAGGGGGCGATTGTTATATGAACGTAGCACAAATATCTCACCTAAAGCTTTGAGATATACTAATATAAACATTAAAAGTTGAAGTAAAATTCAAATTATTTTTTATATCCAACTAATCGTGGAACTAATGTATGACACTTGTCTTCAGTATTAAGTATTGTCTAGAAATTAACTGTATAGGTATATATCACTAAATATATATAAATTTTATATATGCTGTCAATTGAAAGCTACTTTCATTTCTTCTCTTATGTGGATTGTTGGTAGTTTTGGCTTAGAAATATATGGGTCAATAGTTAATCTGTTTTGTTATATTTTTACAATTGTAAAAGAGTTGGATTGAGACTATATGCTTCTTGTAGAATTGAATAAACTCATAATAATGATAATGAAAATAATTTAATAACTTTCATATGAATTTTGGAAGTTTTTAGTAGTCCTAAAAGTACTATATGACTTGTTATACGACTTGTAGATCATTTTTTTTAAAAACAAAAGTTATAAACTTACTAAAATTTTAAACCTTTTTAATGAACAATGAGCAGATAATTCTAACTATTCAAACTCCCTCACTTGATTGTAATAGTAAAGCATTTATTTTAGCTATAAAATATTGTCAAACAAAGCTTTAAAATAGTATCTTTAAAATACTCTTGAAATAACTACTTAATAGTAGTTAGTTACTTAGTAGTTACTTAATAGCTTTTAAATAGTATCTTTACAATACTCCTAAAATAACTACTTATCTTCAGTTTAAACTGCATTAATTTTACTAATAAAAATAAAATTTAATGCCAACATTTTCTTTAGTGTAAAGAAAAATATAAAAAGATACATTAAAATGTTTCCACCTGAGCTGATTTGCTCTTCAACTACCAAGTTTACTTACATGTATATTTGCGCATGCCACGCACACCAACTGGACTTTGGCAAATTGGCGTTTTAGTTAATTGATGGTGTTTATTGCCAATAACAAAAACAACAACAACAACAACAATTAAATGAAGATAAAAGTTTGATCAGCCAATGCAACTGGCAATAATAAAGTGAAATTGCTGTTTTTAAAAGGCAAAGCCGTGCTTAAGTTAAATGCTTCACACCAAAACTCAGAAAGATTCAATGAATCGCAGCAAATCTATGCCCGAATGAAGTAAAACATTTTCCAACAAAACACGAGCAATTCAAAGTATCTTATTATAAAGTATCTCGCAACAACTTTTCAACGCAGGCTTCCATGCAATCGAAGTTGAGTGTCAGATCAAAATACAGACTTTAAGCCAATCGTTGAGATCAACTTGAAAAGCTGATGCATGTGTTGGCCACCAACACATTTTTAGTATAGTAGTATAGTTGGCAATTACCAGTGACGTGTACGAAACAAAGTATCTTCAAGATACGTTTATTTTGGATGCATTCAACGGGTGCCGTATCCATGTTGGGAGTGCAGCGTGAGCTTGGTTATCTTCAAGAGCGCCTGCGTCGTGTAATAACATGCCAACGAAAGAAAGTGTGTCAATCGGATCGAATAAACAAAATATCAGAAAATAATATGAAAACAAAAATACAATAAAACAATTTCAATTTCAAATATTCGAAAACTGAAGAAAAGACGAGAAAAAATGAACGACAATCACAGATATTCAGTGGATTTCGTATACAGAAAACCTGGTCCGCATGCGTTTCAGTCGCAGAGCGCAGTAAATAAAGTGAAAACGTAGCGTAAGTCTTTTTTGTGACTGGTTTAAGCTCGAGATTAGCGCGATTTGGTGTTGAACCAATTGTGGTTTATACTAAATTAAAAGCAAAAAAAAAACATAAAGACAGTGGTAGATAATGGATATAAAAACAAACTACAACGATTGATTAGATAAAATAAAAAATCAATTAAAATCCATCATGCATGATTTGTAACGTGAAGATTGTTTGATTGATTAGACTGAACAATCTCAGTTTTTTATGCAGCGGCCTGTAATTGGACCACAAACGGTCCATAAAAAATAAAAAACTTTAAATGAAATTACAAAGAAATAATAAGTATAAATGCAATATAAAAGAATTAATAAAACATAAATAATATTAAACCAGTTTCAAATGCAGTTAAATTATAAAACTAAGAAATTACTGAAATAAAAGATATAAATAATGTTAAAATAAAAAATTTAAATAAAGAAATTATTTAAGAAAATTATATAAAAACATGTTAAGAATAAAACAAGAATAACAACAAAAAAAATAAAATACTGAACACCACTTACTAAAGCAATTGAGTGACAAGTAACCAAAAGAATTCTCACTAAAAAGTTGATCCACAGACAAATGACTATATTAACGCCTAAATAGAACTCAATTAATGTAATAAGATATTTTTATTAAAAAGTTTATATTCAAATAAATCGTAGCACATCGCATCATTTCCGTTTTTGTTTCTATATTCCCAATGTAACAGTCAAAGTGCTACGTTACAGCAGCAAAACAGGAAATAAGCAACCAAAATGTTGGATAATACTAAAAATATTTAACTCCAGCAACAATAACAAATGTTGGATGCTGGAGTAGTAGAATAATACAAATTGCAAAAATGAAAATAATATTAGAAAGAAATGCCAGCTAATAGCACTAAAAACAAAAGAAAATAATTCTACTAAAAATTTTCGTTAGAAGCCATTTTAACGTCAAAGTAAAATTGATTGAAATAAAATGTTTTGATGTAATACAAAAAAAAATATAAAAAATAAATAGATTAAAATAAATAAAATAAAATAGTATAAAAAACAAAAATTAAATAAAGTGAATAAATTTAAAGAAATAAAAGTTATACTATAGCAATAAATAATAAGCGGCACTATGCTCCTCCTAGGAGTTAAAGGATTAAATACATACATATAGTTAAAGTACCATGATGATGACTATAGATTTTAGTCGAAATATCGGTAAAAATAAAATCTTTTAAAAACAAATAAATATTTTTAAAAAGTTTATTATTTAACTGTTGACCAATTAGTCCATAAAAAAAACACAAATTACTTTCATTAAATACAATCGAAATAATGAAGGGATGATAAAATCTATAAAAAATAATATTTATTAAATACAAACGAAATATGAAAATAAATGAATTAATATAACCTTTTCCTCTTTAACGCCGTTGCAAACTAAATAGAGTTTTGGTTCTCCAGTACTTTTTTTCTAGTACGCTCCTTTCATTACTACAACCTTTTAGCTTCTAATGTTAAGGAGTGGAAACGTAGTCTCTTTACCCGCCTCAACTTTTTTCGGACTTCTTGTTATGAACAAAAAACATTAATAACTTTAAACAAATATTTAAAGAAATTGACAATATAAAATAATTCAAAGAGTGCAAAATATTGCCTTAAGAAAACTGGTTAACGCCCCATGCTACGTAAGAGGAGCGGATATCCACAGAGATCTGAGAGTCGATTCAGTCGAAAAATACATTAAAGATCGTGCTCTGAAACTGTTCAATATAATTGATAGTCACAATAATCCAACTCTCAGCATCCTAAAAATACAGCGAAATTTGATAAACACAGGCAGATACAAAGACATCAGATCCATCATATTATAGAGCCCCGTATTCAGTTATACTTAGTGTGACTTAAAACTGTCCACAGATAAAATAGAGTAAAGGTGTTGATTCACCAACTCAGACATCTGGATATCAATATATAAAATAAAATAACATGTAAAATATATAAAAATATAAAAAAGTTATAAATACAAACAGAGTAATGGAAATGAGGTATAACAAAATAAGCGACTAGATAATTATAGAATAGTTATAGAAAACGAAGCCAGCTTAATTCTGTTTAATTAAAGTATGTCCCTTGCTTGTCATCGAAGTTATTATATATTGAAAACGATTAGTTTTCTACTACTATATATCACATTTATACATATTTGCTATAGACCAATATTAAACTATAACAAAGTTACAAATTTAGTAAATTGTATTAAATTATATATTATATTCCTATTATTTGTTTTTGTTTCTTGCAGAGATGGCAGTGTTCCAGAAGTCTATTTGGTTTTTACTACTAGTAACGCTACTAACAGCTAAACAAATATCCGGCGAAGGTTTACGATTGCCTGATCAGCATTCGGTGCCACAACAACAGCAACAACAACAACCACAACTTCAAAATGTACAGCAAATTTTTATACCACAACAACAACAGCAGCAGCAACAACAGCAACCACAGTTACAGCAACAACAAACACCAGCTGGTTTTGGTGAAGAACGTGGTCGTTCTTCCATATTGAGCCTCTTCGGTTTAGGGAACGATAATGATCCATATTTAGCGCGCACCAATTCAAATTGCTTAACCGGTGACTTGTCTGAGTGTTTTAAGACTCAAGCATTGAATAGTTTCGATGAAATATTTTATAGAGATAATTATCGGTGAGTTTTACTTAAATTAATATATATGTATATATCACTAATACAAGAATTATTTTACGTATCATACAGATTATCTGATTTTGCACGTATTGTACGTATGCCAGAAACACAACAACGTTCCTTACTGCAAGAACCATTTGAGTATTCTGAGTCGCCAAGAAATGAAGATACTGACTGGGATCAGTTAGTTAAATACGCATTAAGACGTGCTGAAAGGTATGGCAACTGATTTATATTTTGGATAGAAAGACAGATATACAGTAATATATACTATATAAATGGATTTTGCTGAAGTCCTAAAGAAATATAAGTTAGAGATTTTTAATCTGTGAAAAAATTTGTTTTGAGATATTTTTTATATTAGCAAAGTGTTCAGTTCTATTATATAGTTAGTTTGTATATAATTTATTTAATTAAAAGTTTAATTTTTTCAGGACTTCATATTAATTTTTTTGTTAACATGAATAGTGTTAACTCCATTTTTTTTTAAATCAAATAGATCCTATATATGTTATATACGTACTGTACATACATTTTTCACACTTATATAGATTATTATTGTGTAGTTCCTAATCATATATACTCATATTATTGTATGTTTGTGTCTTTAGATTTATAAAATCCACTGCTATTGAAATTGATGTACCAGAAGAATTAACGGAAGCTGGACGATATGACGCACGCTTCATTGGTAACGACATTGATAGCGAATTGGATATTATTGAGGACAAACATGCACCATTATTCAGTAAGTTGAAAGCAATTTTAAATATAATTTTTTTTTATTAAAATATATATTAAAAATAATATTAACAAAAGAATATTTATTTATTATCATCTACAGCACGCAAGAAGTTGAAGAAAATGATCATTCCATTGTTGCTCGTATTGAAAATCTTTAAATTGAAGTTATTGTTGTTCTTGCCATTCATCTTGGGTATTGCTGGACTTAAGAAAATACTTGGCTTAGCTGCTATAATACTGCCTGGTCTATTTGCTTACTTTAAACTTTGCCGTCCACCAGGCGGTGCACCTGGTTTTGGTGGTGGAGCCTTCTCTGGTTTATTCGGTAGTAAAAATACTTTCCCAGAATATTCACCACAAGGCGTTGGTTCAGCCACTTACTATCATCATCATGAACACTACGATGGTCAAAACAATAGTCCATATTATAGACAGGATCCTGCTTTCGCCAAACCATATACCGATTACTATAGCAAAAACGTACAAACTGGTTCTGGTAATTCGGTGAGCTTTGGTGATGCTCATGATATTGCTTATTCAGGTTATTACGGTAGAAATACTGGCAAAGACATTCAGAGTGAACAAAAAAGCTAAATTGTGAAATATGCATTCGATTTCTTGGGAAATTGATAATTTCAATACCATCGATAAACTTATTTTTTTATTTTGTTATTTAATTGTTATTTAATTTGTAAATATTTAAGTATATTTGTAGCTTATAAATACATTGATTTTTATATATTTTAGACACTATTTATTGATAAAGAAAAATAAAATAAAATTTTCAAAAAATTGAAACATTATCTATTAGATTTATTTTTATTAGACGGCACAAAGATATACTATGAGAGCTATTTTGGCAAATCTAATAATACTTTCATAAGCTAATTTGAACGACTTAATGTTATTAATTTAATTAACAAGATTTCCCGTTAAAATTGTAGACTTCAGTAAATTTGAAGTCTTGCTGCGCTATTACACTCCAAACCTTCAAACCGATTTCACGCACACATGTATAAATTCCCTCAACATAATGTTAAGAACAGCAACCAAAAAAATCAATAGCATCTAGAAAGCATATAGGAAGAGTGAGTATATCGCAAAAAGTATGTACCTAAAAGACACATATCTACATTAAAACATTCTATGAAGTAATATTCGAGATCATAGTCTTATTGTTCAATAAATTTAAAGAAATTGAACTGTTGGATGGAACAAAGCATGTTTTACCTGGAATCAGAATGTTTTATTCGAAGATGACACAATAAAACTTAAAACCACGGTTGCCACTTATGGTACTTTAGTACCAAAATTAGTACTTTTTTTTCGTTTTTTTGGTTTTTGGTACTCATGTTCAAAAAATGGTACATTTTTGACGACCCAACTTTATTGTGAATATTTCCAATTAATTTTTTTTATAAATGCAACATTGCACTATTTTATATTATGTTCATTTATAACACTATGAAAAACACAGAACGAAAAAACAAAAAGGTCCTTTTTTTACAGAAATGGTACCTTTTTAAACCAATTTTGGTACAGGAAAAAATTTTCAAGTGGCAACCGTGCTTAAAACTATTAAAATATATAATAAAGTTAAAAAATATCATATGATAACTGCAGAAAATATGCTGGGTCCCAAGAAAATTAAGCTCAAATTTTGAATGGATGTATAATTTTAGCAGTTATGCATTGAAGTGAACAGTATAATCAAATCATTCAAATACTTCCCCGAACGATGTACGATATATTGGGAGCATTCTATTATAGTAGACAACTTTCCAGATATTAATATGCCAAATAGATTAGATATGATCATCATAGAAAGAACAAGCAAATCCATCCAATTGATTTGTAGTATTGAGCCCTATACTTAAAACCTAAGTGCGGCTAGTTCCTAAGGGTACAGTTGGGTATTTGATGACAAATAATTTATAATAGGTGAGAATTATATAAAAAACAAATCACAAATATTAATTTTATTAAAAATTAAATAATATTTTATTACTAAGTATTTTTTATGTATGGAAAATTAGAGAAGAGAATTGGAGTATTAAACAATGTTTAATCTTATATATTGTTATATACATATTATATATATTTCCAAACATTTTTATTAAAAATAAAAATATAATTAAATTATATTAGAGTTAAAATTCAAAATAATATAAAAATATTTTTTTTCTTGAACAAAAAGCATGACCTTCGTTTCTCAACTCAGACGCATTAAAATTAATAACATAGCGGTCCTAAAGAGCTGGATTACGTTTAAAAAATTTATTTATTTAAATTAATCGGAAGTCTGGAAGTGTAAATATTAAATTCTTTTGGTAAATGAAAACAAGGAATTGAAATTTTTTGAAAGAGTACCCATGAACTTAGGCATACGCTAATACACGGGAACACGTGTTATTGACACAGCTGTCAATATACGTAAAACATATATAATATTTAGAAAGTCATTTGTTTATTAAAAATAAAAGTTTAAGTGGGTCAAGGTTCTATGAAGTTTTCTAATGATGATTTGTTTTATGAATATTTATGAATATCTGTTTAAATATTAAAATTCTTACTTATGAATTAAATGAAATCAATATAGAAATAGAAATAGAAATATAGAAATAGAACTTATTTAAAATTGGACGAAAAGAAAATAGACTCGTCTTCGATTTTTAATGAATTGAATATCAAATTTTTAACGAATATCAAATAATATATATATCTGAATTTGCTAGAGCATAATTCCTTTCAAGTCAATTTGGAGAGTATTTATTTATACCAAATATCAAATCAAATATCCATTTATCTTTTTATTTGTGTCTCATTTAGATTTTAAAAACCTTAGGCGGTTAGTGTCCCTCAAGTGAACTCTTCGGACTTATAGTTCATATAATGGTTTTAGATTCGATGAAGGTTGGGGATAAATATTGACTGTCCATATTACTAAGATTACTACGGTGAGCAAATCCAAAAATTCGTATATGATGATTTGGTTAGGTTGAAGTGGAGAGTGATAATCTACATATAGATCTGTATAAACGATTCCGAAATGGAATCAAATTTTAAAGAAGATTTATTGTAGAAATCTTATAGGACGTTTAAGTTTTTTACGAATCTGAGCAGCTTGCTAACGTGTTCTAGTTTTCCAAATTAGGGAGTTTTGAAATGTTGTGTGTTGTAAATAATCGTGAGTTTCACTTTTAATAGAAAATATGATACAGTCATGAGTTACAATCTCAATGAAGAATGTCTTAGAGATCATTTGAATAACATATAATTTTGATTAGCGTTTTAAAAACTACTAAGCATTGATAAATGGAACATTTGATAAACAGACAAATGATATGTATCAATTCTGATTTTTCTGTTTGAATGAAACAAGTTTTTGTGTATGTAGGTAGATCACTTCGATATATGGGTGAACCATGCAGTATCCACAAAAAATTACTACTGAATAAGAGAACATAGTATATATGAATGGTGAATTGGGTGAATATATATGAATGGTGAACATTAGGGTGAATGTTGTTAACTGAAATGTTTGGTTTTGATGGACACTTTTTGAAATCATTCAAATGATTAGAAAATTACTAATTGTAATATTTTAAACTAATCCGAAAATATGTGTAGGCATAAGTTATTGATTTGCAACTCTAATAATTAAATTTATACTCTTTTATATCTATAGTATTAGGAATAAAATAAATCATGGTTATAAGAATTCTATTTATGGAAATTCTATTGATGGCACCTGTATCATTGGTTTGTATCAAAAATAGTCAGAATGAGTCTGTAGTTGATTGGTTATTCTGCACTTACTCTGAAGTTAATTAGTTTATAGTAATTCGGTTTGCATGATAGCGTCCATTCTTATAAATGTGGGACACCTAAACTAAGCTCGATAACTCAATAACACAGTTATGGTAAAGTGATAAAACAAAGACCTGAAAGTCATTTCTTATTATTTCTCTATTAAGTTACACTATTTTGCATTGAACTGCCAAAATTCATAATTATTATTTTTTATAAGGACTTCAAATTCTGTTTTTCAAATTAAATTGAAGTTTTGCGCAACAGTTCACAGCAACAGATAGTTAACCGAATACGGAAAAAAAGTATCAGTTCCAATGGTACGGAAACTCGTTAACTCAAGTTTTAGTATCACAAAAACAAATGGACCCAGAACTTTATCACATTGCAGAGTCATCAACATTCTGAACACCACTTAATACCTATTTAAGGGTTTTGGACATAAAATCTAAACCGGTTAACTGTTTCTACTTATCTATTAACTTTATTAAATATATTATTATATCATTAAACTTTATGGCATAAAATAAACCGTATTATGTACATTTCATTTCCTCGAAAACTATTCCCACAATTTTTTATTCCCTTTAGTGTGTTCCCATTGTCTTTATTAAAACAGTTTATTTGATTTATGTCGCTAATCAAAGTGATTTACTGTACAAAAAGCTTTCGTGCAATTCAATTTAGAATTAATCAATTAAGAATAAATGAAGCCAAATTATGATGATCGTAATTTAAGATATTTGGCACTTGAGGTAAAATATAAATAAACGAAAATAGACAAGTCAAAGTTAAGGAATTCATTTAAATGTTTGTTTTTTTATAAGTAAATTATTTAATAGATCTGAACATTCTTAGTTTTAGCAATCCTAAATTTCTATGTATTTTTCTAAAATAGCAGTTTATTTAATTTTACACTGTATATAAATATATTTACTACCTACATTAACAAATGTTCAGAAATTCCTTCCTTTTCTTGGAATTGTTGAAAAAAATTATGCTTATTTCTTAATTTTAATGATCTTTACATTTTTTTGGCGTTGTCTATATGTACCTTTTGCTTTTTTAATAGCAATTTCATATATGTTATACCCAAAATTTTTTGGGTTTCCATGATCAATTAATTAATTTCTAACTAAATAGGTTTATTATTATCTGCCAACAATTAAATGTGTACAAACACAAATTGTCCAAGAACTTTCACAGACAATAAACGCTCTTTTATTTACATAAATCAACTTATGCCTATGGGAACGACCAAATTTCAAGTTGATTAATACAAGTTGTTTTAGCTTGATGAATATTAAACCTTACAAATATGATCTATTTTTTTGTTGAATGTAGATAGATTTATGGCACTAGTCTTATGATTGAAACTATGGATTTTGTATCTATTAATTTCTTTGAACTTACTCAAACTTACTCAATGACTTCTGATGCTTTTTTAGTGAAAAAATATTATTAGAAATATTATTATTTTAATATATTCACATTTAAAAATTTATATTAATTCCGTGTTTTGAATAAATAAAAATCAGTGATGAGAGAACAGAAAATTGGAACAAAGCAGAGTAATGTGCACATCTATGTATAAAATAATAATCTAATTTCAAATCTTATGTTGAGTATATAAAAACATTTAATTAAGAATATTATTGTGTAAATATTTGTATTTAGTTTAAAAAGTATATTAATATGTATACCATAAGTTTCATGGCAAACCTTATGCATACAGTTCAAGCGACTATAAAAAGCGTTAGAAATTTTTAAAAGCTATCAAATTCAGAAAACAATTTGAATAAGTACTTATAAACTAAAAAAGACCTAAA